GAGGGCCGTTGTGTTGTGGGGATCCCCAAGCTTCCCTCCACACAGCCAGGCAACTGGTATTTTCACACAGACTTGCATCCAGAGACAGTGACCAGTCCGTGAACTTGGTTTTGTTGTTTTATTTAGGGGAATTTAACTTGGATAGGGAAATAGGGATTATGGGATGTCCAATTCGACTTGAAAAAATGGAAGGGGGGCACTTCCTTCCTATGTACAAAGCAAATCCTGGAATGTTCTTTTCCTGAAAAAGCAGTTAGTCGCTGCAGACCAATAGTAGCTGGTCCTTACGGGCGAGGAACTACCAGCCCCTCAAAAATCACTTTGCTTTCTGTAGCTACATGCAGAGATGTCTTCTCTCCCCCTACGGAGCTGCTCCCAGTTCCCTGGCCTGCAGAAACTACCAACCCTCCTGGCTCTCCCAGACTAAGGATAAAACAATTTAGCACAATGCTGTCCTTGGCAGTCTTCCCCCTTGTAGATCCCAAAATGTGCTGCTGTACTGACATTGTTCTCTTTGCTCCCTGCTACTCCAGGCTTGATCCCATCCACGCCTCTCCACAGCATGTATCCTCCTGAGCCAGCCTGAGCCCAGCCTAGAGGCCACCCCCCCTCCCAGGCCTTGGGGACCCCTCCTACACTCCGACAGTCTCCATCTTCCACCTGACTCCCCTGTCAGCATGACTCTCCCATACTTGTAGGCCAGTCAGCCACTCTACCAGGGCCTGCAAACCTGGGATTGGTCAACACTCCATTAATATGCAGATTAGGCCTCCACCCCTCCTTCTACCAACCTCTGGAGGGTTCTAGTCCTCTAGAGTCAGGAAGAGGCAATAGAGCCACAACCTGTAGAGTCATCCATCTGACCTGCAATAACCCAACCTTAATCACTTGAGCCACACAACTACCATGAGTCGCACAACGATTTTTCCTATAATATGCTACGCTATTCTAGTAGCACACTAAAGAGGGTGCTACATGCATATGTAGTATTTGGATTATTTGCACCTGAATTGTAATGTATATTGATATCTTATCATTTCCGGTACAGTAAGGTTCATGAATGTATGGATTTTCTTTAATTACTCACTTAAAAATAAGAATTTATAAAAACAAAACTGACTTCTGTTTAACCTACTGAATCCAGAGTTCACAGAGCTCATCACATGTAGGCAGGACAGATCTGATTCCTATGCTGTGTAACTTTTCTCTTGCACCACTGGATTTATCACCAATCATATTCTACCAGCTGAAGCAGTTCTGAATGTGTTAGCTGTGCAGAACTTTTTGGTAATGACACTTTTATAGCAAGGGTGGTGCAGTGAGTCTGTGGGAGCACCACTCCTGTGTTCTAAAGAGGTGAGCAAAATGAGGCTTTTGCTGACCATCTTCCCTAACTGTTCAATATCTATGGGAGCCAAAAGTAAACACGTTTCATATTAGCTAGAATGCAGCATAAGGAATACACTGATGAGGCCAAGTTCTAATTGTATGAAAAGTAAAAAAATCTTCAAAGGCAGAATAGGACCATTATAGATTTTCCTTTTTATGACTGACATATCTTTTGAACAGAACTGCTCAGGAAATATATACAAATAGGTGTTAGGTACGGGCACTGTGAAAAAAAGGATCCTATTCTATAAATTACAGAAACATACTCATTAGAAGACTTGCAAAATTACCGGTACTTTAGGCACTCCATATGCTGGTAGAATGATGCCTACTTCTGGGATAACATGAAGAATTACCTTGATCAATCAAGAAGTACAGCTGTAGACTGACCACTGAGTTGAAGTAGAAGCGGATTGATTATTAAGTACAAGCTCTTATGGCTAAGTGGAGTCTTGTAAAGTAGTAATTTAAGGATAAGCTGCTCATGAGAAGAAGTTCTTAGGGTGAGGCACAAGTGATCTAAACATAAGAAATGATTTTAAATAAATATGTGTCCTAGAAAATGTTACTCTACACATTTTGAAAATTTAAAACTTTGTAAATGATATGTTATGCACCACTGTTTATGTATGCACACTAGACATTAGTTATGCTTACACCTAGGTGTATATTTATCAAAGATTCACTGGAGAAAAATTGCCAAGTCAATATTCACCAAAAAAAGACAATTGAGAGGATTCACCAATCAGTTTCAGCCAGCATCATACAGGCAGCAAATCTTACAAATGTAACACACTGCACTGTTACTGTTTGAAGGATGTTGATTAACTACAAGATGGCAGTGTTCCACAGTTTAGCTATTACAGTCTTGAGTATAGTAAAGCATTGTTGAACTTGTATGCTGAAGGCAGAACTGTTTTGCACGGACAGGCTGGAAGCAGACTACATTTCCCATAGGAGCTGGCGAAGGTGCAGGAACCTATATAACTGAAAGCCAAGGAATTTCTGGGTGGGAGGAGAGAGATTGCGTGAAAGGGAAGGCATGTGTCGAATGATTCAGAGAGCTGAAAGGAAGGACTACAGAAAGCTGGCATTGCTGACAAGCAGGAGAACTGACCCTGCAGGCAGAGAGATTGTGGAATTGCGCTTGGTATCATTCTGTTCTCAAAGGGACCAAGAGGACAAGGGGGTCCCCCAACCAAGAGATCGCTCATTTTGTTCGGACTACAGACTTGGTGAGAGGGTTCCACAACCCAAACTCTCCTTAGTTACCAGATATCCTGTTATTTTCTCAGTTATATCAGTGCAATACACTTTACATCACAGTTAACCACCTGCAACACAGACGTCATGATGCGGACTACAGGTTCAGTACCCCCTCTTTGCTCTGAAGGCAGGACTACTCCTGCAGTACATGTGTCTTTGTGGACAGTGACACTGTTAATATCTCATCTCCAACATATTATAGCCATAAAGAGCTGGCTTCATCAAGACAAATTGCTACCTATTGGAATACAAATTCTATTGGAGTCTACTCCCGTCCCTTCTTCATCTATACTGATCCTTGCCTTTACCTACTTCAACTAAGGGACCCTTTCTCTTACTTTGCTACCATCGGAGAAGGGAAGAATGTTTTCTACTATTGTGCTTTTCCTTCTTCAGTAAGGCTTGCTCTCACGTAAAAAAGACCTCTACCTTAATGTGCATCAACTAGGGCCCTAACAAACGCACAGAAGAGTTGTTTTTCTTTTTCTTATCCTGGGGTGGTATTAAAGGGGACGTTAACATCTGTATATTCATCTTCTAGTTAAATCCTGTTCCCAGACAACTGAGAATCCAAAAGTGTGGTAGCCCAAATACTTGATAGCCTTCTACAGTTCACTCTTGGGAAAAATATCTCAGCGTGGGGATTGGTGTTTAAACTCTTGTCCTGCAGGATATTTTGGGTTTGTTTTCACAGGGGTACTGTGTTTGATCACTGAGCCTTGTAGAGTGTCAACTACTTTATATGCTTACTGTTATCTCTTTTGTGCTTGTACTATTTATTTTACTTTGATCTCAGTACAGTCAAAATATTGGTTCACCTTAAACTCGTGTTGTTACTTTGTGTTCCAGGTCCAGGGATTTCTCCTGGTAAAGGTTTTATGGTGGTGTCAGCAGGGGCTGTGCTTCCAAATCAGGCTCGGAACAGACAGGGACCCCAAAATATTTAGCGGCTCTTAATGGGGTAGTGCTACACATAATTATGCGTATAACTTTTTGGGACACAGCTTTGCTGTGCAGTGCAGTGCCCATGCCTAGCGGCCAACCTCCTGTGTTTAGAATGCAGCAGGCTAACCGCTCAGCACAGAACCTGTAAGTAAATGGAGATCACAGCTTCCAGGCGCATTGGCCAGGAATGGTATACACATAGTTATGTTAGTCCAAGATAGACCAATATAATTGTGTATAAAATATCCATACGTGGAATTCCTCGTTAACTTCCTTTCTCCTTTCCGCCTTCAGGTGCCCTAATTAAAAAGCAAATTAGCATCATCACCTCTGGTAACTGAATATAAGCTGATTTATGAAGCAGTAAGTAATTGTCTGGATGGGCTTTGTTTGTGAATGTTACATTTGCATTCAAATGCATCACTTCTGCAATGCATGCATTTTAATGCAAAAGGTGCCAATGACTGTGTTGCATCTGCTTTGCTGGCAAAGAGAACAGATCTCAGCATGATCTGCTGTATTCAGGGAAATGCAGAATACAGCCTCAGAATGGTCATCCATTTTGTCAACAATAAAAGCAGGTGTGTAGAACACAACATCTTGACACAAGTTGCAGGCAATAAATGGAAATCTGTAGACCTGCAATTAATGTATGCTTCAAATGCAGAAAAGCAAAGCTCTTCTACAAAAGCTCTGAAACTGACTTAGGAGGCAGTAATGTCAAAGCAAGAAAGCAGTGAGATCACAATTGTTCCACGTGGCTGTCAGACTGCCAGCTTTCCATGTGACCAGGTTAGAAAATCCTTTTCAAATGCCATTACCTACTCCACCCAACAAAATTAAAACACTTGAACCTTTAGAATTTGAGCCCCACATTTAAATTTCGTCGACACTTCTGTTTTGGTGTAGTGCTGATCCAGTTTGTTTAAAAGAATCCAGCTTACTACCTGTTTGATGAAGTTTCTTAACAACGTAAATGCAACCTTGATATGTACTTCAGACCATTTATCTGATTGAGATGACCCTAACATAAGTGTATCATGTTACATGATTATTACACACTAATTCCTGGTACACACGATGAGAAAAATCAGAAGAAAGAAAATGCATTCGGAGCGATCATCCGAATATCTGATCATTAGTGCACAACTTTCAAGATACGATCACAACAGTTCATGCGATAATATCCGAAGGGACAAGGACAAAAATGTTTCTCATAAGATAACAGAACAAACTAATTTCATGTACCATATTTTCCGGCGTATAAGACGACTGGGCGTATAAAACGACCGGGCGTATAAAACGACCCCCTACTTTTCCTGTTAAAATATAGGGTTTGGGCTATACTCGCCATATAAGACTACCCCTCTTCCAACGCACACCAAATAAAAATTAAAAAACATCAGATTTGATTTCAATATGGTATGGTATTTCAGTATGGTATTCCAATGATGGGGTGCTATTCCTCCCACTGACACCAATGATGGGGCACTATTCCTCCCACTGACACCAATGATGGGGCACTATTCCTCCCACTGACACCAATGATGGGACACTATTCCTCCCACCGACACCAATGATGGGACACTATTCCTCCCACTGACACCAATGATGGGGCACGATTCTTCCCACTGACACCAATGATGGGGCACCATCATTTAGTGTCAGTGGGGAGGAGTAATAGTGCCCCATCGTTGGTGTCAGTGGGGGGGAGGAATAGTGCCCCATCGCTGGTGTCAGTGGGGGGAGGAATAGTGCCCCATCGTTGGTGTCAGTGGGAGGAATAATGCCCCATCATTGATATCAGTGACACCAATGATGGGGCACTATTCCTCCCACTAACACCAATGACACTTGCTGACCCCTGTTCCAGTATGGTGCTGCTGCATCCAGCACACTTACCGGCCACTCCCTCACTCGATTTTTGCGGCGCCACTCGGCTCCGCCTCCTCACCGGTGATTGGCCGCCTGTGTGCCTTTCCTGAGGTACAGTTCTGGCGGCTAATCACCGGTGAGGAGGCGGAGCCGAGCGGCCGCACGAACATCGAGTGGCTGAACTGAATGAAGGAGCGTCCGCGCTTCCTGGACTTGATAGTCGTGGGACTGGGACCAGAGCCAGGTAAGAAACAGCAGCCCCCTGCCCACCCCTGTACTTAGTGTCCCTTCCGTTGGAAGGGGGGGGCTGTGGCGGCACCGCGCCGCCCCCCTAAAAAGTGCCGCCCTGACACCAAGTGTCAGCATGCCGTATACCAGCGTATAAGACGAACCCGACTTTTGAGAAGATTTTCAAGGGATAAAAAGTCGTCATACGCCAGAAAATACGGTAATTAGTATAGCATTTGTATGAAAAAAAATGAATGACCAAGACCTCACATGCTTGGAAACGAAAGTATACATTACAATACAATATACAGTTGCAAGAAAAAGTATGTGAACCCCTTGGGATTACGTGGAGTTTTGCATGAATTGGGCATAAAATGTGCTCTGAACGTCATCTAAGTCACAACAATAGAAGAACACTGTCTGCTAAACATAATACTACACAAACATTAGATGTTGCCATGGTTTAATTGCACATAACATGTAAACATTCACAGTGCAGGGAGGAAAAAGTATGTGAGGCCCTAGCTTAATGACTTCTCCCAGAGCTAATTGGAGCCAGGAGTGAGCCAACCTTGACTCCAATCAGTGTGATGATATTGGATGTGTTGCTGACAGCTGTCCTGCCCTTAAAAAACACACACCTGTTTTGGGTTTACTGGTTTCAAGAAGCACTGTCTGATGTGAACCATGCCTCGCAGAAAAGAGCTCTCAGAAGACCTACGATCAAGAATTGTTGACTTGCATGAAGCTGGAAAGGGTTACAAAGGTATCTCCAAAAGCCTTGATGTTCATGTGTCCACGGTAAGACAGACTGTCTACAAATGGAGAAAGTTTAGCACTGTTGCTACTCTCCCTAGGCGTGGTCGTCCTGTAAAAATGACTGCAAGAGCACAGCACAGAATGCTGCATGAGGTAAAGAAGAATCCCAGAGTGTCAGCTAAAGACCTACAGAAATCTCTGGCATATGCTAACATGTTTGTTGACACATCTACAATAAGGAAAAAACATTAAACAAGAATGGAGTACATGGGAGGAAACCAAGGAGGAAGCCATTGCTGTTCAAAAAGAATATTGCAGCACGTTTGAAGTTTGCAAAAGAGCACCTGGATGTTCCACAGCACTACTGGCAAAATATACTGTGGACAGATGAAACCACGATTGAGTTGTTTGGGAAGAACACACAACACTATGTGTGGAGAAAAAAAGGCACAGCACACCAACATCAAAACCTCATCCCCACTGTAAAACATGGCGGAGGGAGCATCATGGTTTGGGGCTGCTTTGCTGCCTCAGGGCCTGGACGGATTGTTGTCATTGATGGGAAAATGAATTCCAGACTTTATCAAGACATTTTGCAGGAAAACGTACGACCATCTGTCCGCCAACTGAAGCTCTGCAGAGGATGGGTGATGCAACAGGACAATGACCCAAAGCATACAAGTAATTCAACAAAACAGTGGCTGCAGCAGCACAGAATATGCCTTCTGGAGTGGCCCAGTCAGAGTCCTGACCTCAACCCGATTGAAATGCTGTGGCATGAACTTAAGAGAGCGATTCATACCAGACATCCCAAGAATATTGCTACACTGAAACAGTTTTGTGAAGAGGAGTGGTCCAAAATTACTCCAGATCGTTGTGCAGGTCTGATCTGCAACTACAGGAAACATTTGGTTGAGGTTATTGTTGCCAAAGGAGGGTCAACCAGTTATTAAGCCCAAAGGTTCACATACTTTTTCCTCCCTGCACTGTGAATGTTTACATGTTATGTGCAATTAAACCATGGCAACATCTAATGTTTGTGTAGTATTATGTTCAGCAGACTGTGTTCTTCTATTGTTGTGACTTAGATGACGTTCAGAGCACATTTTATGCCCAATTCATGCAAAACTCCACGTAATCCCAAGGGGTTCACATATTTTTTCTTGCAACTGTATTACATCACTTCTGAAATTGTATTCTGTCTTACGAGAATTTTCATAACTTTAGTAACCTATTTGTTTTCGTTATGAGACTAGCATCCAAAAAACCCCAGAAAAAAACGGACGATCATTCATCTGATATTCTCATCGTGTGTACTAGGCATAAGTATGACTATGCAACAAGAAAAGTGAAGAGCTGTTGTTGTTAGAGCTGAAATCAGGTAGACCGCTGTTATCTGAAGATGGCCTGTCTACTGAATGAACATGACCCATGTCTAATACCCATTTTCCTACTGCACGAAGATCTGCTGGAGCAAAGTAAAGAAAATAGATCTGACCTACTAAGTCAGACCACCTAGTGACAGTATAAAGGTGGGCTTTGCTTATCCACGGTCTACTTAAATCTGCATGGCATGGGGGCAAACTGCATTATCTCCGTGCTATCCCAGGAGGACTGGATAACTTCAAACTATCCATCTTTAAATAAATGCTTTGAAGATCAATAAAGGAGCTGACAAGCGTGCAAACATATCACTTTGTAAGTTTGCTGCACACTATGGCACCACAGCAATCATCAGTAAAATAAGTAAAAAACACTTAAAGGTTTTAGAGAATTAGCAGTGTCTAATGTCCTATGAGAGATGTGAAACTGTGAGCTAGAATATGCACGGCTGGATACCATACTCCGCCGTCCTGTTTAGCTATTTACAGGCACATCTATCTCGCCTCCCACCTACACACCTACACTTTATATGGCCATAAACCAACAGTGTGATGTGTAAATTATACCCTCAGAACGCCAGGTTGGAAATAGGTTATATGAAAATTCACCTCATGTGGTGTGTTCATTTCACTGCAATAGGCATCTTTAATCCCTTTAGGTTAAAACTCATTTCAACAAAGACCAATAAGGCTGCCCCTTGACGTGCGGATTCCACTGTGCATGGCTCCGAAGAAAGTAAGATGGTAATCATGTTGACAAAATAAAACATTGTGCAAAAAATTGTAGTTAAGGAAAAATTATCACCCAGATGTGAATATGCATTAAAATAGATATGACAGGTTATAAGAACAAGTCTCAAATGTTATGCCAGACATAGATGGTTTACATCTTGGAAGGGACTGACCAAGATTCGATCTATGTATGGGCAGGCTAATTGTGCCCACGTTGGTCCATTTATCAACTTGGGCACAATCAACATGTCGGATTTCTAGCATACCATTATTGCCAGTGACTATAGCCAGGGTTTCTATGGTCAGGTATTTGCATATACAAGCCTGGGATTCTATGGTCACTCATATACACAGTAGAGGATCCCTGGATCTTGTGGTTCTCGTATAATCATTTCCTGGCTATAGGTATTAGGACTGGCCTTATAAGTCATGCACCTCTTTGAAATGGAGTCCTTCCCAAGTCCTTCTCAAGTTATGGATGTAGGTACAGTATATGCTTTGCCTGCACATATAATTACATCAGGGTAATGGACAGTGCAGTGTATAACTGATTTTATGCTGATTTTATATAGTGTGTCTATTTTGTATATGCGTATCAATAAAACTGTATTTGGATGGCGCATTGGTTGAGCATTTACACTATTTTGGGACCTATTTTGTGCAGAGAGATATAGCTGAGTATAAACTAGATTATGATTAATGTTCTTCACAGCAATAATCACTGTATTCTCTCGGCAGGGATGGTGCCCTGCACAGCCCCGTTGGGAGAACTGTGTTGATGGGGGAATCAAGTGATTTTCTTTCCTGCAACCCTAGTTGCAGGGAAAGAAATCGCATCATCTATGGCCTGCCTTAGCGTCTATGTTTTTTGTTCAAGTGAAGCATTTATGAATAATTATAAATAAATAATTGTAAATCGACTTAAAGATATTAGATGGCGGTCAGACATAGAGGCCTGATCTGATCCCCAAAAACATGCATGGCCAGATCTTTCAAAAATGCGCTTGTAGGTTTACAGAGTAGCTAGGTCTATGCAGACACCCCTGGTGGTGGCATAATTCATGTGAAAACAAAGGACAGGCTTGGAAAATCCAGATAGTCAATCAATTCTTTAATTCTTTCAACAAGGCTCATCCAAAGGATGTCTGGCAAGATCAAGGGGGAGCTTAAGGACATTTTTTGCTGACCAGCCTAACACTTTAAACTCTGTTGTAGAAATGTTGCTATTACGTCTGCAGGCCATATTATTATACAGTATTTATATAGCGCTAAAAAGTTTGCTCAGCACTGTACATTATAGTGGGGGACAGAACATGAGACAATACAGTAACAAAACAAAACACGAGGGGGTCAAGGGCCCTGCTCTTTCAAGCTTACATATAGTGCTTGTCATTTCTATTAGCTGGTAGATATAAAAAAAGGAGGCCATATTTCCTTTTCCAGGGAGTAGGTGGAGCTCTGGGTTTCTTTTCACAGGCTCACTGGGCTATTCCTAACTGCTCTTCTGCCAAAAGCTTGATGCTTATAAACATCAACTATCAACACTCAAATGTAAAAAGCATGAAATTTCAATTAGAAATAGTCTGGGAGTAACCTTTCTTCCGTGCTGTTTTTTAGGAAAATCCCTAATGCTCTGTGATCATGTGTAATAGGTGTGACCCTGTATCAAACGCAGATTAGCAAAACTGAATATACATTGTAAATATACTATTTCAATTTATTATACATAGTAAAAATCTGAAATAAAACTGACCCAACACCATTATATCTCAATTATAACAATACCAGAGGTATTTTTCTATACTAGGTT